AAAATACACTCACTATGACTCGCGCATGCATGCACCCTGCACGGTTGTGGCATGACCACCCAAACCGAAATATATGGACAGAAGATGTGTGCAAATGTATTTAGTATCCTATCCATGTGAACATGATTTAAGTGGGGGGTGGACCTAACATCCTCTAGGGGGGTCCGGGGGCATGCTNGAGGGAGTTGAAAGTCCGTGTTGCCCAGCGACAGCCCCAAAACATCACTGCTCTAGAGGAGATCTGCATGGAGGAATGGGCCAAAATACCAGTAACAGTGTGTGAAAACCTTGTGAAGACTTACAGAAAACGTTTGACCTCTGTCATTGCCAACAAAGGGTATACAACAAAGTATTGAGATGAACTTTTGTTATTGACCAAATACTTATTTTCCACCATAATTTGCAAATAAAGTCTTTAAAAATCAGACAATGTGATTTTCTGGATTTTTTTTTTCTCATTTTGTCTCTCATAGTTGAGGTATACCTAGGATGAAAGTTACAGGCCTCTCTCATCTTTTTAAGTGGGAGAACTTGCACAATTGGTGGCTGACTAAATACTTTTTTGCCCAACTGTATATTTATATATGTATAAACCCTGTACCTTGTATTTGTTCTGTTATGTAAATCAATTGAAAACTAATGCGCTTTATTACTCATTGCACTTCCTGGTGGGATGCAAACTGCATTTTGTTGTACTATAAAGTTGAACCTAATCTAATCTATTCCTGTATCTTGTTTTCAGTAACTCTGCTTTTAAATGCTACATGAAAACGTTGTTTGGTATATAACTGTGTCTTTTCCCACAGATTTACCATACGGTTGGGAGCAAGAAACGGATGAAAAAGGACAGATTATTTATGTTGAGTAAGTAGACTTTTTGTTCAACAGAGGAAACAAGTTACCGTAGTTTATTTTTGGCCTCACAGGATAAGCTAGACTGCATAAATCTGGCATAACGTCTCCATTGTAACATACCTTTTCCTCTGTCATTTTAGTCACATTAACAAGCGGACCACATACTTCGACCCGCGGCAGGCCTTTACGGTAGAGGATGTGGTGTTGAAGCCAAAGCGGTATGATGGAAACACTGCTGCTCTGGAGATCCTGCAGGGCCGCGATTTCTCAGACAAGGTCATCCTGATTACCGGAGGCAACTCTGGCATTGGTGAGTCAAAAATCTTAATACGTTTTACCAATTCACTAATGTTCTGTTATGGCTAAAAATAATCTGTGTGTTTCCATTATGATGCCACTAGGTGGTGATGTGGTATCACACAGTAGAAGAAGGGTTACTTGACGAGAGCCTCTCTGCTCCCTGCAAGTCCCATCTCTCCACACCCAGACATTCATCAACATTAGCCTCCAAAATGATACACTTAGACTCAACAAATCACTCCTTAATATCGAACATGATTGTATTGAAGTTCATTAGCTGGGCAGAATTGGATGTCATTGTTAACTGTAATGAATGGTGTCCATTTGTAGCCAGCAAATGCATTGCTCACTATATAATGGCCTGGATACAAATGTATTTCCTCTTTCCTTTAGTTTAAATTAGCACAAGTAGTGGCCATTTGTTCAGACTTGCTGCTTTGTTCGGGATAGATAATGACAGCATGAGGGAAATCAAATAAACATAAAATCGTTAATTGTCTTTATATTCAAATTCTTTGTCCCAAGGAAAGTCAAAGCATTGTGTAATTGTTGTGTGTGTATTAGGAGATGCAGCACTGTAGTACAATAGATTTACGGCAGCCTGGGGACCTTTACTGAGCTTGTGAACTTAAATGCCTTCCCGACCTTGATGTTCCTACTTCCATTTGTCTCTTTATCTATATACATATTCAAGGCTTCATCAGATAGACATGATCCAAATCCAAGTATTATTGTCCTTGAGAAAATCTTATTTGATGTATGATTTGAAGTTGTTCTACTGTAAGAAAGAACATTATTTTATTGACATTAAAGGTGGGGTAGGTAAGTTTGAGAAACCGGTTCGAGATAGCCGGCCCGGCTAAAATAACTGGATGGCCTACCTGCTTGTCAGCCTTCCATCTGTGCACAAACTTATCTCGTGCCCTCATTGGTCACGTGCGTGTTTTCGTGTGTGTTGGAGGATGGGCTCTGTAAGGAAGTGGCAGATTTTTTCTGGTTGTGTATTTTCAAATTCTAGTGCACTCGAGCTGGTTTCTCCAAGATTACCTACCCCACCTTTAACAGTGTAGGCACAAANCCCCCATAAAATACACTCACTATGACTCGCGCATGCATGCACCCTGCACGGTTGTGGCATGACCACCCAAACCGAAATATATGGACAGAAGATGTGTGCAAATGTATTTAGTATCCTATCCATGTGAACATGATTTAAGTGGGGGGTGGACCTAACATCCTCTAGGGGGGTCCGGGGGCATATTCCCCCGGGAAGATAATTTTTTCTTAATATTGAAGTTAAAAGCATCAATCTGGTGCACTTTGAGAGCAAAATTAAGAGATCTATGGATACATCTCTCAACTTCAATATGAAACAGAACTGTAAACAGATATACTTTTTCTTTATGGATATTTTACAAATCACTCCCCTTTTAAACTGTATTCTTGTTTATTAATAACAACTTTTTTTTACTGTCATATAGTATTTCATACCTGTTTTTCATCTATTCTCTTATTTTCTTAGAACTATAATGATCATATAAAGGTGTGCCTTTACCTCACTGAGCTGAGGTTATCAGAGCCGCTCAGTCTTTCAGGAGAGAGCTCTCAAGCTCTCCCCCCCGCGGACGCTTACGCAGTAAATTCCAATGTTAATAAAAGCACACAGAAGCTGTATACGTTTTTTGGGAGNAAACTGTATTCTTGTTTATTAATAACAACTTTTTTTTACTGTCATATAGTATTTGATACCTGTTTTTCATCTATTCTCTTATTTTCTTATAACTATAATGATCATATAAAGATGTGCCTTTACCTCACTGAGGCTGAGCTGAGGTTATCAGAGCCGCTCAGTCTTTCAGGAGAGAGCTCTCTAAAGCTCTCCCCCCCGCGGCCGCTTACACAGTAAATTCCAATGTTAATAAAAGCACACCGTTTTTTGGGAGTTTGATTTATTTTGAATCAACACTAATACAAAATTAAAACCTATAATTGCACACTAAAACCATTATTTCAAAAAAAGAATTATTTCACATAAACCTCTGCGCTGTACGCAATATAGGTGTAGTTATGTTAGTATAAGATAATAAGATGTATTTTGTTCATCCAATATCGGGAAATTGTGNCAATCCATCCAAAATCTAAAATCAATCAC